CTCCTCCTCCTCCTCCTCCTCCCCCTCCTCGTCAGCACACGGGGCGGTAGGTACCAGCGAGAATGGCGTGACAGGGCATTTGCCTCGCACTGGTGTGCGATGACCCAGGGCGGCAGAGGGCCTCGACGAATCGTCACAGCTCTGGGCGGAGAGGGGGGGGCTTCCTCGCGTTTCATTATGTGCGGCAAAGTCAGTTTTTGGTCGGCGGCAAGCGAGGGGGGGACATGAGAAGGAGGAGGACTCCTCCCAGGGCGGCGGGACTTCTCGGAAGCCCTCGCGCCTCCCGAGCAGTTTTCTGCGTCTTCGGGGGAGGCCGAGGAAACCTCTCAGACGTCGGGAAGACTTCCGAGCCTTCTGAGAAGGCCCGCTCCTTCTCACTTCCCCCCCGCGCTCGCCGGCAATGTTGATGACACCGTTGAAGACGCACCCGTTTGCAGGGGCGCCGAGGCCGAGGGCGCGGGCGCCGACCGCCTGCGCCTCAGCGGGGCGCGCGGCTGGCTCCTGCACGCCCTGTCTGGGGCGTGGATGCCGGACGGCCGCGAGGGGCCATCTTTTCCACCACCACGTGGTATACCACATGGAGGAGGAGGCGGAGGGGGGGGAGGGGGAGGAGGAGGAGGAGGGGGAGGGGGAGGGGGAGGAGGAGGAGGAGGAGGAGGAGGAGGAGGAGGAGGAGGAGGAGGAGGAGGAGGAGGAGGAGGAGGAGGAGGAGGAGGAGCCCCCGTCCTTCCTGTGGTGGTCGTGGTGGACGATTGGCCCATCAGGACGGCTGGGCGCCCTACACGCCGTCCAGGATGCGGGCCAGCAGGGCGCTGGGCGCATCCTCGGGGATCCTCGCGGACTTCTGGGCGGACCGGCCCGAGGAACTGTCGGAGCTGCGGCACTGGCTCACCCAGCCCCAGGACAATTCGGTCGTAAATCATGGGGGCCTCGTACATGTTCGTAACGTTTTGTCTCTAGCGTCGATTAGCGTCGATGAGCGTCTGGGAGTGGATGAGGTAGCGCCGATGTTGCGTCGGTTATCGTCGATTAGCGTCTGGCTAGCGTCGATGAGCGTCGATTTAGCGCCGATTCGCATGGATTCGCAAGAGCCGACAATATGGCATGGGAGGCTCCCATGAGTTGCCACCGAACAGGACAAGCTGATGCTTCTGACCGGCTGCCGGGGCAACGGCCAGGAGGCGATCGTGGCGCAGCTCGTGGGTGGTCGCGCCGTGCTCATCGACGTCGGCGAGATGCTGGAGGCCGGCGGCGGTGCGGACGACCAGATCTTCCTGCGGATCTTCTGCAAGGCGCTGGGGTATTGGCCCGCGCAGGGCATGGACAGGCAGATGAGCGCCCTGTTGGAACTCATGCTGCCAGGCTCCGGGAAGCTCAGCAGGGAGAACGAGCTGATCGTCGCGGTGCAGCGGATCCTCTCTTGCGTCACGCAGGCGTTGATCGACTGGAAGAACAGGCGCGCACTCGGCGGACAGCAGGACGCGGCGATGGCCGCCCCTCTCTTCGTCGTCAGCGGGTTTACGGCGGAGAACCGGGACCGGCGTGAGGGTTTTTTTTCCGCGCTCGTCAAGTGGGGGGCCTACATGTCCGAGGCCGGCCTGGCACGGGTGCTGTTCATCGCGGATTCCTCCTTTGCGGAGCCGGCGATGCTCGGCGAGCTCAGCAACCGCCCCGAGCGGCTCGACGTGACTCAGCTCCAGGACGCGGATCCGGGCAGCGTACGGCAGATCCTGCGCAGGCAGATAGGCGACCAGGGCGCGTCCTCGCTCACCGACGCGGAGCTGGCCGCCATCGGGGGGAGGTTCCGCGACATTGCCTCCCTCGTCAACAGGGTGCGCAGCGGGGACGACCCGAAGCAGGCCGTTCGCCACCTGGTGGAGGCAGCCCGCACGACCGTGCACGCAGTCCTCCCCCTCCTGATCATCCTGCTCCTCGTGCCCCTGTCCCCCCTTCCCCTGCCTCGCAACCCCATTCTTCCTCCCCTTCTCCTCCCCCCTCCTTCCCATCCTGCCACTTGTCTTGCTCCATCTTGCCCCTCCGTTCCCGGACATGTGTCACGAGAACTGGCAGCGATTTGTGCCCGGCCGCCAAGGATTTGGTCACACCGCTGACAGAGAAACATGAGTGGTGATTCGCAATAATTTCGGGTTCCAGCAAACATGCGCGGCGCTTCGTTTAGAAATCAACATCGTGGCATTCCTCTTGCACGTCCAGTGCTAGTCAAGATGGGTTTTATTGATTGGTATCGCCGCGCCCTTCTACGATCTGAGCATCGTGTCGCGATTCACGTAGAATGTTCGAGGCTTCATTGGGCGTTTCGTCAAAGTCTGGACCGCGATACGCCTCCTCCCTCCTCATTCCTCCCACCCCCCTCCTCTGGCGGAGGCTGCCGAGACGACCGTGCGCACGCTTCTGATGGTGGGCCAGCCTGGGGTCCAGTGGACGAGGCCCCAGCTCTGGCGCGCGGTGCGGATGCTGGAGTCGAGCCCTGGCAGCGCAGGCGACCTAGCCTTACGTCGAGCTCGTCCCTCTACAGGAAGAATATTCAAAAATGGTAAAGCATAGCAGGGGGGCGTGTTTCCCCCCTTCTTTTTTGTTTGTTTGTTTATTGTTATTATTGGAAAATGACAATATTGGAACATGTTTGTACAACTTTTTATTTTTGCGTTCAAAATCCCACTGCTTTCGTCTAAACCTAGCCGAGGAGGGAGTTCGAGCGGATCTCTGATGTCTGTCCGTTTTCGTTTTGCGTCCCGTTCTCACCTTTGTTGTTCTTCGTCGGCACCCAGTATGTTGTTCAAACTTCCAAGGCAAGCGGAGGCAGGAGGACTGATGATGATGAGGTATTTTGGGCAGTTGTGTCACCCTGCGGTCTGACCGAGGTATCAGCTTGAGGCCAGTTCGGGGAGGTTACCCCGATGTTTTTCGTGTTTGTCGTATGTTCTGTCCATCCTAGGGTGCACTCGAATGTTCTTCAGTTTCGCTGGGGGAGGGCCTCATGCTTTTGGAGGATATCAGGAGGGAAAAAACACACAGACACAATCAATCGTCGATTCACCAGAAAATATGGGAAAATATGGGAATTGGGCGGGAAGACAAAAACCCAGAACATATGGGAAAATATGGGGACATATTTGATTTGTGTGTATTTATTTGTGTGTCCCAGGGCCCCTTCAGGATCTTCCTCTGCCCTAGGTCCGGCGGTACCAGTGGCGCCGCCGTGCGGATCTCGCACCACGCTCGGGCGGGCGCCCAGGGGAGGGAGGATTGAGGGGAGGGCCAGGGGCGGGGGGGCGGAGGGAAGGGGGGGGGCACGTACTTTATTAGTGAGTTTAATTGGTTTTAGGGTTTTTCACAAATGGTCGCAGCCACGCAGAGGGCGTGCGTAGCGACGCCCCAACAGCTCGGTCTCCAGTACTTCTACGTGGCGGCGCCCCCGCAGGCACGCAGAGGGCACGCGTGGCGACGGGGGCGTCGCCACGCAGAGCTTCTAAAGACCAAACATTTTGAAAACCAATTGCTTCCATTACTAAAGTAGGTGCCATGGATCAAGCAGTGGCGAAGCGTCCTGGCTCGCCTATAGCCCTACCAGACAAGGTTCCAAGCACCTTTTTGGGGGGTTCTGAGAACACTTCGTGGTAGGACTATAGAAATGCCGGGACGGTCGATCCCTGCTCCAATGGAAGGTCTCTCGCCGGGGGTTTGATGTCACGATGTCCTGTCAGTGTCGGATGGTCAGAAGCGCAGGGGCCTTTTCTGACAGAATGGGCACAGGCTTGGCTCGCTGCGCCGTGGGAGGGTCTATAGCCTTGTGCTGCGCAGTATCTACGAACGTCCACAAGAGCCTGACACACACACACACACACACACACACACCTGCACACTTGCGCACCTGCACACACATACACACATTGCTGGAGGCGAGGTGGCTGTTAAAAATAACTTCAGACATGCACATACACATGCATATACATATATATATGTGTGTATTTGAGTTGTAACTCCACATACATGCATACATCCATACATACATACATACATATATCTGTGCTTATATGTATATATAGATATGTTTTGTATATCACCCTTCCCAGTTGTTAATTTCGGCCACCAGTCATCTCGGTTCATGCGCATGTGTGCTTGCATTGTCGCATTGCCTTGCGTTACTTTGATTATCTTCTTATGGGGTAGAGGTTGGCCGACGATACTGAGGAGTACGAGGAGTTCCCATAATCCACTGCAGACGTTATTATTTCCCTGCGCGTTATACACCACGTTTTCTTACACGTGATTTTACCTTGTTACGGCTTATGACGCCCAGCCCACGGTCGCGGTGGTTGCGTTTCTTGCGATACAGTTGTGAGGTAGATTTCTGAAAAAAAAGGCATAGGGTAAAATGAATATTGTGTGTGTGTGTGTCTCATCCTGGTTTATTTTGGACGACCGAAAACACGACACCACCCCACCCACGGCCCTCTTTGTTGTGCTGCGGCCTATCGGGCGCCGTAGCGTATGCCACGGAAACACCCACGCCAGACTTTGTGGCATGCCAAGCTTTCAGAAGGTCTCGCAAGTCCCCTGGCCTTCTGAGACGTTTCAACATCCCCCCCGAAGACACATAACATTTCCAAGAAGGCGCGAGGGCCTCTGGGAATTCTCGCCGCCTTCTGACAAGGCCTTCTACTTCTCATTTCCACCCCTCCTCGCCGCCAGTGTTTGTTCCCTGGTCCAATAGGTATTTCGTTAGTGGTTTGAGTTGTGTCCCCGGCGCCGGATCGAACATTGAAACATTGAAAACATTAAAAACCGAGGTTTTCGGATTGAAAATTACAAATTTCAAAAATTGAAAATTGAAAATCTCAATCTTGGAGTTGGGGATTGAGAATCGAAATCCTGAAAATGTCAATTCCCTTGTCGCCGATTGAAAAATTGAAAAATTGAAAAACAGTTGTTTTTTCAATTGTTTTGTCCGGGTAGGTCGGAATTGATATTTTGAGTTCTCAGGTTTTCAATTCTGGCGTACAATTGAAAAACAATTGTTTCTCCATTTGTTCAATTTTTCAATCCGGGTACGTCGGAATTGACATGTTCAATTCTCAGGTTTTCAATCCCGGCGTACAGTTAAAAAACAGCTGTGTTATTCCAAATTGTTGACGCTTCGCGTATCCCCACCAGCCCATCCAGAAACGATGCTCAGGGGAGTTGAGGTGATCAGGGAAGTCGGGGAGCATGCAGAATAACAAAGGGCGGGGGAAGCTGTCACAGACCCCGAGAGGGGGAGGATGGAAGAGGAGTCGTCGTCGTCGTCGTCGTCGTCGGAGGAGGAGGAGGAGGAGGAGGGGGAAGAGGAGGAGGAGGAGGAGGAGGAGGAGGACGGAGAAGGAGGAAGAATCGGAGGAGGAGGAGGAGGAGGGGAAGGAGCTTCTTGGGGGTCTTTTGAGGGCCTCTTGGAGGGCTTTTTGGGCGCCTTGGGGCATCTTGGGCGCCTCTTGGGACCCTCTTGAGGCGCTCTGGGGAGCCTTCGGGGCGCTTTTGGGGCCATCTTGGAGGGAGTCGATCAAACAAGAGGGGGGGTTTAATTAGCGCCCCCCCTCGGAAGCCCCTAAAATCGCCTCTTGGACCCCTCTTGGAACGCTCTTGGAGTGCTCTTGGGCGCTCTTGGGGCCGTCTTGGGGCTCTTTTGGGGCTCTCTTGGGGCCCTCTTGGGCCATCTTGGAGCCATCTCCAGGCCTCGGATGGCCATCGGAAGCGAAAAGGCGAGAAAGCAAAAATCATTGATTTTCCTTAGGTTTTGGGACGATTTTGGCCTCTTCGGGGCCTCCTTGGGGAGCTGTTTGGCCACTTGGAGTTATCTTGGGGCCGTCTTTGGGCTTCTTGGAACCATCTTAGGAGCCATCGTGAGCGATCTTGCGCTATCTTGAGCCATCTTGGAGCTCATCTTGGGTTCTCTGAGGCGCTCTTGGAGCCGTCTTGGGCCATCTTGGACGCTCTAACTACCCGCGGCCCCCCCCGTCCAGGTCCAGGGGAGGGGGTAGGGGGAGGGGTAAACCCCTCCCCAAGGGGGAAGAGGGAGGGGTGGAAGAGGATCTGCTCTAGACCACCTACGCCCAGAGGGCTGGTGGGATTAGCCTGGCGTAGGACCCAACCATATGCAGCTGCGAGTACCGCACGGATATGAGACGAAGGAGGGGGCACGCAAACTAGGCCCCTCTTCTCATAGGCACCGCGCCACTGGGGCCTTCGGTGGAGCTCCCTATGGGGCCACGAAACGTGTGAAGGGTGTGCCGAAATGGGTGGTGGGGAGGCATGCGGACCCTGCCACTGGGGCCTTCGGTGGAGCTCCCTATGGGGCCACGAAACGTGTGAGGGGTGTGCCGAAATGGGTGTGGGGAGGCATGCGAACGCAGCCACTGGGGCCTTCGGTGGAGCTCCCTATGGGGCCACGAAACGTGTGAGGGGTGTGCCGAAATGGGTGGTGGGGAGCCACTGGGGCCTTCGGTGGAGCTCCCTATGGGGCCACGAAACGTATGAGGGGTGTGCCGAAATGGGTGGTGGGGACGCATGCGAACGCAACCACTGGGGCCCCTTCGGTGGAGCTCCCTATGGGGCCACGAAACGTGTGAGGGGTGGGCCGAAATGGGCGAGGGGCGGCATGCCAACTCTGCCACTGGGGCCTTCGGTGGAGCTCATTATGGGGCCACGAAACGTGTCAAGGGTGTGTCGACATGGGTGGCGCGGACGCATGCGAACCCTGCCACTGGGGCCGTCGGTGGAACTCCCAATGGGGCCACGAAACGTGTGAGGGGTGTGCAAAAGTGGGTGGGGGCGGCATGCGAACCCTGCCACGGGGGCCTTCGGTAGAGCACCCTATGGGGCCACGAAATGCGTGAGGGGTGTGCCAAAGTGGGGTGGGGGCGGCATGCGAACCCTGCCACTGGGGCCGTCGGTGGAGCTCCCTATGGGGCCACGAAACGTGTGAGGGGTGTGCCAAAGTGAGATGGGGGCGGCATGCGAACCCTGCCACTGGGGCCTTCGGTGGAGCTCCCTATGAGGCCACGAAACGTGTGAGGGGTGTGCCAAAGTGGGGCGGGGGCGGCATGCGAACCCTGCCACTGGGGCCTTCGGTGGAGCTACCTATGGGGCCACGAAACGCGTGAGGGGTGTGCCAAAGTGAGGTGGGGGCGGCATGCGAACCCTGCCACTGGGGCCTTCGGTGGAGCTACCTATGGGGCCACGAAATGCGTGAGGGGTGTGCCAAGTGGGGTGGGGGCGGCATGCGAACCCTGCCACTGGGGCCGTCGGTGGAGCTCCCTGTGGGGCCACGAAACGTGTGAGGGGTGTGCCAAAGTGAGGTGGGGGCGGCATGCGAACCCTGCCACTGGGGCCTTCGGTGGAGCTACCTATGGGGCCACGAAACGTGTGAGGGGTGTGCCAAAGTGGGGTGGGGGCGGCATGCGAACCCTGCCACTGGGGCCTTCGGTGGAGCTACCTATGGGGCCA